GGACTTACCAGAAAAGATTATTATTAACAGAAATGGACTAGCCTATTTTTATAAGTTAATCTTTATACTAACTGTAATAAAGATAGAGATTATAATTAGACACTATAACAGACTACTTAAGAATCACTTAAGAGTAGAAAAGATGACTGAACTAATCATAAAAAATTATTATATTCTGAACCTCAGACAGAAAATATATAACTATATTAGATAATATAAGACTTATATTAGAAATAAGTTTATAAGATACCAGTCTTATAGATAAATATAAGTACAGGAGGCGCTATAATAATTATAAAAATAAATAATAATTAACTTTATTAATCTATTACTAGAATTAGAAGAGTTTAATATTATCATGGTCATCACTGATCGCCTTACTAAATATATTTATCTTATATTAAGTAAGATGATAATAATAGTAATACAGATGGTAGAACTGTTTTTAAAAAATATTATTATATACTATAGAATGCTAAAGTATATTATATCAGATTAAGATAAGTTATTTATCTTAAAGTTCTGGAGATTACTCGCAGATCTTATAAAAATAGAAGAATAAATAATAATAACTTACTACCTGCAGATAAATAGATAAATAGAAAGAGTTAACTAGATAATTAAGCAATATCTGAGATACTATATAAATTATTAATAGAATAATTAGATAAATCTATTATTAATAGTATAATTAGATAAATCTATTATTAATAGTATAATTCTTATATAACAATATTAATTATTTAATTATTAGAATCTTACTATTCTATACTAATTACAGATATCACCCGAGGTTTCTGAAAATATTATTAGAAAGATAACAAGTTACTAATATAGCTAAGAATATTGTTATATTTACAGAAAATATATATTTATAATTATCTTAAGATATTAAGTTCATGAACTTATATAGCAAGATATACTATAATCATAAATACAGAAGAAAACCTGACTTAAAAAGAAGGGAGAAAGTGTTCCTACTCTGTAAAAATATTAAGATAAAATGACTAAGTCAGAAGCTTGACTATCACAAGCTAGGACTATTTATTATTAAAGATAAGAAGAGACTGGTTAACTACAGGTTGAGATTGCCAAAATCGATAAGTAAAATTTATCCAGTGTTTTATATCTTATTATTGAAACCTGTACCAAAGAATGCTAGAATCGCAGAAAATATGGAGATTAATAATAACATAGAATAAGAATATAAAGTTAAAAAAATCCTAGATTACAAGAAGATTAGCGGCAGATCAAAATATCTGGTAAAATAGGAGGGATATGATACCTCAGAAAACATGTGGGAACTTATTGAGAATTTGACAGGCTGTTACCAGCTTGTGGAGCAGTATTACTAATAGACAGGTCAAAGTTTGCCCAGAATGAAGAGGAACCAACCAACTGAGTCAGACTAGGAGTGTCTGACGCAGCGGCAAGTTGAGCGGCGTTGTGTTTATTAGCCAGATGCTCTAGTTCTCGGAGATCCTCAGTGCTTGGGGAATCCTCCTTATCCAGCCGCTCCAACACAGTCAAGTCGTGATCCAACATCTGCTTGCCATGATCTTTTAGGAACTGCTGTTACTTGAACAAGCAAGCCACTTTAGCAGCAATACAGGCCTGTTTAGCAAGAGCCTCAGTAAGTTTATTTTATATATCTGATTAATTATGTTTTAATTCATTCCACTCTCTATCACTGTAAAATCATTTTTCATATTTTCAATCACGACAAGTACAGGCAGCATAATTTCAGCTTTTTAAATCTATAATATAAGAAATACTTCTCAGGAAACAATGTTTGCAGGAACTTTTAGTAATAAAACTATTATTATAAATCTTATTAGACTAACAGATATGTTTCTTCATCTGATCGTGATTAATATAATAACGAGATATGATAGACTATCATAGAAAAAAAAGAAATTGAGAAAACTTAACCAACACAGGAGGAACACGTATCTTTATGTTTCTTGAAAACAAGAAACCTTGAAGAAGGGAGAGTGATATTACAGACCCCTGCTAGCCAGGTTACTAGCAGAAGCGGACTCATCAGGCAGAAAGATAATGACCAGAAAGGACTCAGGCAGCCAGTAACTTTTATTAAGTAAGATCCTGGTTAGGATAATACCCAAGGTAACACTATGTCACATGATTATTTACCATCAGATCTACCATTGAGGATATACAATATAATATACGGAATCCAGGAACATGATTAGATCAACCCTTAATCTACCCTGAATGGTATACGAAATGGTATACAAAGAATAGGATATAAGGACACTCTTTCATATACTTAGCTAGTTCTGTTCTTCATGCTCAATAACACTGTCTTTAAGTAACCATATGTTTTGGTAAAGCTTAGCGACAATACTCATCCATACTTACTTACAGATAGCTGCGCGGCACTATCTAGCCTTACTTCTCTTCTCTTGTTCAGATCAAGTCATCTTTAGATAGTCAACAACCTGACTACCTTTGATTCAGTTCACAAGGTACGTATTGGAACGGGAGCTAAGCTAACAGGAACAGGGAGAAGCGATCCTAGGGTTTGACAAATGTAAGACTTATATTAAAGATAAGTTTGTAAAATATTAATTTTATAGATAAATATAAGTATAAAAGGCGCCACAGTGGTTATAAAAATAAATAATAATTAATTTTATTAGTCTATTACCAGAATCAGAAAGGTTTGATATTATTATGGTTATTATTGATTATCTTATTAAATATATTTATCTTGTATCAAGTAAGATGATACTAACAGTAATACAGATAGTAGAACTGTTTTTAAAAAATATTGTTGCATACTATAAGATGTTAAAGTATATTATATTAGACTGAGATAAGTTATTTACCTTGAAGTTCTAAAGATCACTTACAGATCTTATGAAAATTGAAGAATAAATAATAATAACTTATCATCCACAGATGAATGGGCAAATAGAAAGAGTTAACTAAGTAATTAAGCAATATCTAAGGCATTATACAAACTATTAATAAGATGATTAGGCAAATCTGTTACTGATAGCACAGTTCTCATATAATAATACTAGTCACTTAATTATTAGAGTCTCACTATTCTATATTAATTACAGTTACCATCCCAGATTTCTGGAAATGTTATTAAGAAAGTAATAAGTTACTGATGTAGCTGAGAATATTGTTATATTTATGGAAAACATGTATTTATAATTATCCCGAGACATTGAGTTTATGAACTTGTATAGTAAGATGTATTATGATTATAAATACAGAAAGAAACCTGATTTAAAAAGAAGAAAGAAAGTATTCCTACTCCGCAGAAATATTAAGATAAAATAATTAAATCAGAAGCTTGATTATCACAAGCTAGGACTATTCATTATTAAAGATAAGAAAGGACTGGTTAACTACAAGTTGAGGTTGCTAAAATTGATGAATAAAATTCATCCAGTATTTCATATCTCATTATTAGAATCTGTATTAAAGAATGCTAGAATTATAGAAAATATAGAGATTAATAATAATATAGAAAAAGAATACGGAATCAAAAAGATTCTAGACCATAAGAAGATTAGCGGCAGATCAAGATATCTGGTAAAATAAGTAGAATATGATATCTCAGAAAACACGTGGAAACCTATCAAGAATTTGACAGGTTATTACCAGCTTATGAAGCAGTATTACTGATAGACAAGTCAAAGTTCGCTCAGAATAAAGGAAAACTAACTAACTAAGTCAGACTAGAATCATCTAATATAGTAGCAAGCTGAGCAGCGTCGTGCTTATCAGCCAGACATCCCAGCTCTCGGAGATCCTCAGCGCTTAAAAAATCCTTATTATTTAACAGACCTAATACATTCAAGTCATGATCTAACATCTGACTACCACAATCCTTAAGGAATTTGTGATATTTTCACAAACATTTTATTTTCACAAATAACAGCTCAATCTGCTCTTCAGTCTCTTTAATCTCTTAAGCTATCTTTTCTTCATCACATTAAAGCTTATCCCACTTGGAGTCACTGTGAAATCATTTCTCATATTTTCAGCCACAGCGAGTACAGGCCGCATAATTTCGGCTCTTGAAATCCATAAAGCAGGAAAGACTATGGGAATCATACCAGGTGCAAGGGAAGTCAACCTGGGCACCACTGTGAATGATTTAGTCAGCTTGGTAACAGCACTTCTTATAATAATTATACAGAGGCATGGTGACCCATTCTAAGAAAGAAAGAAACTAAAAGACCCAGGTTAACACTCACGGGGACACGCACCTTTATATTCTTAAGGACAAGAACCTCAAAGAAAGGGAGGTGGTGTTACAGACCCCTGCTAGCTGAACAACTAGTAAGATAGGTACATTAGGCAGAAGACAACGCCCGGACGGATGACCACTCTTATCAGGTAAAGTCCTGATCTGAGTCATCACGTGTCACAAGTTATATAACCATGGTATACGGACAAGCGTGTGGTATACGACATACCATCATGGTTTATAACTACCAAACGGGTATATAGTAGACCTGATGGTATATGGAATGGTATACAAAGAATAGGATATAAGGACACTCTCTCATGTACCTAGCTAGTTCTGTTCTTCGTGCTCAATAATACTGTCTTTAAGTAACCATATGTTTTGGTAAAGCTTAGTGATAATACTTGTTCATACTTACTTACAGATAGCTGCGCGGCACTATCTGGCCTTACTTCTCTTCTTCTGTTCAGGACCAGTTCTCTTTAGATAATCATCAACCTGACTTACCTTGATTCGGTTCAAAGGTACGACTCGGAACAGAAGCTAAGCTAACAGGAACAGGGAGAAGCGATCCTAGGGTTTGACACTAATAAGACACCTTAAGGTATAGCAGTTGCGGAAAGTCCTGAATGCGTTGGCCTACTAGTGCTAGATTTTACCACTATGTAAAGCGAGATAAAGATTATCTTATTGTCGTAAAAGATATTATAAATAATAAATCAACTAAAGAAGTTTATAATATCTACGGTTGTACAAATTGAACCACCCGAAACACAAATGATATGAAAGATAGCGACCATTTAGGTATTAAGTTGCATTCCATCTGAGTCAGAATGGTAATCTAGCCTAAGCTATGAAAATATGTCATTTCCCATCCTTACAATCCTTGAGGCAAACTCCGTCAATAGTGAGAGATGTCAGAATCTAGACAAGGTACTCAACCACCATGGCACTTGCACCACCACCACCGTTGCAGATTCCGACACAGCCGATCTTGGCCTTCTTGGCCTTAAGAACTCCAATCAAGGTAGTCAGAATTCGAGCGCCGCTGGCACCAATTGGGTGACCAATAGCCACAGCACCGCCGTGCAGGTTGACTTTCTCTTCGGGAATGTTGAGTAGTTTCATGTTTGCAAGGGCGACAACGCTAAAGGCCTCGTTAATCTCGAATGCATCAACGGAGTCCTGAGCAACACCGGCATGCTTGAGGGCTTTCGGGATCGCGAGCGCAGGGGCGGTGGTGAACTTGCTGGGCTGGTGCGCGGCATCGCCCCATCCGAGAATCTTTGCGATAGGCTTGAGTTTCAATTCTTTTACTTTGGCCTCCGAGACCAGGACAACAGCTGCAGCACCATCATTGAGAGGGGAGGAATTGGGGGCCGTCACAGTTCCAGAACCAGGGATAAAGGCAGGCTTGATGCTTCGAAGCTTATCAGGGTTGAGCTAAGAGATGAAAAGTGAAGGAGTTAGATTTATCCGCAAGAGCTGAACATGGTAATGCACAAGCGAAGGGGTCAGCTCTCACATTCTTGGGCTCTTCATCTTGAGCGACGATGGCACCCGGCTTGCCCCTGAAGCCGGGAAGTTCAATGGGCGCGATCTCCTCGTCGAAAAGACCTGCCTTCTGAGCGGCCTGGGCTTTTTCGTAAGTCTGAATAGCATATTCGTCCTGCTGCTCCCGAGTGAATCCATAGTCCTGGGCACACTCCTCGGCTTGTAAACCCATAAGCTCCTGCTTGCCCGCATCGGTCAGGCCATCTTTCATGATTCCGTCTACAAGACTCTGGTGGCCGTACTTTGCACCAGAACGGAGGTTGGGGAGGTAATGCGGGGCATTGGACATGGACTCGGTGCCACCGGCCACAACGACGTCTGCATTTCCGGTCATGATGGTTTGGGCACCGAGAATGACGGCCTTCAAACCAGAGGCGCAGACCTTGTTGATAGTAGTGCAGACCGTTGACTCGTCGAGTCCAGCACCAAGAGCGCATTGTCTAGCAGGATTCTGTCCGACACTGAATGGAAATCGTTAGCCTGCAGGATGGCAGATGGCACAGGAGCGGGTGACCCACTTGGCAGAAATGACATTGCCAAAGAAAACCTCCTGCACGTCAGAAGGCTTGATTCCATCGGCTTTGCTGAGGGCAGCTAGGTATCGGACGAGTCAGCAGTCAGGAGTTCATCCATCGCTCGAGCGCTTCGACTTCACCAAGCACACCTTTAATCGCATGGGAGCCCAGCTGCGGAGCGGTCTGACTCGACAGGGCACTATAGAGAGAGGATGTCGTCAGCTTCTCCGTGGCCTGGGTTAAAGCTCTTTTGATGGTTGGGTCGGGTCCTCACCCCAGGAACGAGCCCACTGGAGTGCGGGAAGAGGAGACAATGTAAACCGGAGGTAGAGAAGACATGGCGTAAATTGGTGATTTCAAGGGAGACGGGTCAGGGCTAAGGGAATGTATACAATTAGTATTTAACAAGCCGTACAAGTAGGTAGGGTCAGGCAGCTCAGGCCACGAGGGAAGGAACGGATGAGACAAATCCAGCTCGTTTGCTTTCCGTGCCATCAGGCCGCCGGCCCCTCTTTGCTGGCCCTTTTTCGCCTCGGAGACGCGGGCGGGGCAGACGGACGGACAAACGTACTGCTTCCGGAGTAACTCGCCGGAGCAACAAACACGCCAAGCGCGGCCGCGGAGCTAGAAACTTATCGCCAGTACCGACGCGAGCCTCTCCGAGCAGGTGGACGAGGGCGAAAAAGGAAAAGGAAAAGGAAGACCAGCGTCAAGTCCTACCCTGGTGGAAAATGGACGACCTTTATGATGAGTATGTCTCCAATCGGTCTCCTTTTCTTTCACATCGCCCTGGCCTCGGCTGACAAACATCTTTACCCTGCGGCAGGTTTGGTAACTATATAGGAGAGGTGGATGGCTCGGACGAGGAATCTCCGCATCATGATGAAGCCAACGCACAGGCTTTCGCCTTTGAAGAGGCCTTCGGTGGAGACAACGAAGACGACCCCGATGACGTCGGCGAGCAGCAGTTAATGGATGTGGATGATGGTAGAACTTCCTTTTCCATGTCCATCTTGTATGATACCTACACCGTGCTGACTTTCGTCACAGAGGGCCCCTCGAACGCGGTCGTCCTCCATGAAGATAAACAGTATTACCCCAGTGCCCAACAGGTGTACGGTCACGATGTTGAAACCCTGGTGCAGGAGGAGGACGCGCAACCTCTTTCTGAGCCCATCATTGCCCCGGTCCAACAAAAGAAGTTTGCGATAGAAGAGGCCGAATTACCCCCCGTCTATCACTCGAGGGAATTCATGACAGATCTACTCAACTTTCCCGATCAAATAAGGAATGTTGCTCTTGTCGGTCACTTGCACCATGGGAAAACGGCTTTTATGGACATGTTGGTCACTGAAACTCATGACCTCACCAGTCGCCTAGAGAAACGAGCCGGCAGACGAAATGAGGAACAACTCCGCTATACCGACGTCCATTTTCTGGAAAGAGAAAGGGGCCTTTCTATCAAAGCGGCACCCATGAGCTTGGTACTCCAGGGCACGAAGGGGAAATCTCATCTATTTAACATCCTTGACACACCGGGACATGTGAACTTTGTGGATGAGGTAGCTGCTGCATGTCGACTGGTTGACGGCGTGGTCCTTGTGGTGGATGTGGTTGAAGGTGTCCAGGCCAATACGGAGCAAATAATCAAACATGCTATCCTCGAAGACCTCCCGCTGACAATGGTTGTGAACAAGATGGACAGGTTGATTCTGGAACTGAAAATCCCACCCAACGATGCTTATTTCAAACTGAAGCACGTTATCGAGGAGGTCAACACCATTATCGAAAACGTACTGCCTGGCCACGGCGCTGCAAGGCGACTGAGCCCTGAGAAGGGAAATGTTGCCTTTGCTTGCGCCTCCATGGGCTGGTGCTTCACGTTGCATTCATTCGCCAAGATGTATGCAGAGAGGCATCCCCAGGTCGACGCAGTGGATTTCTGCTTGCGTCTATGGGGTGATATCTTCTTCAATCCAAGAAGTCGGAAATTCACACGCAAAGGCGTCGAAGAATATTCCAAACGGACATTTGTCCAATTTGTTCTGGAGCCCATTTACAAACTCTACTCACACACATTAAGTGAAAGCCCGGAAGACCTGAAGCAGACACTTGCTAGTGTCGGGATTAGCCTTAAGCCGTCACAACTTAAGTCAGATGCAAACTCTTTACTCAATCTCGTCTGTGAACAGTTCTTTGGGTCTGCAACAGGGTTTGTGGACATGTTACTCCAGCATGTACCTTCGCCTGCTGAGGGTGCTCAAAGGAAGCTCGAACGGTACTACACCGGGCCTCTTGATACTAAATTGGCGGCAGCTATGGCTGCCTGTGATTCTGATGGTCCACTCATTGTACATATCACTAAACTTTACAACAGTGTGGATGGTTCAAGGTTCCATTCCTTTGGCAGGATTATGAGTGGCACAGCCCATCCTGGTCAACAAGTGCGTGTGCTCGGCGAGGGCTATACCCCTGATGATGAAGAGGACATGGTGACTGCGACTATTTCCGACACATGGATCGCCGAGTCCTGCTATAACATTCCAACGAGTGGTGTCCCTGCCGGCAACTTGGTTCTTCTGGGCGGCGTGGATAATTCAATTGTGAAGACGGCGACTATTGTTCCTCTGCATTTGGAAGACAACGAGGATACACACATATTTCGACCAATCCGACATATTACAGAGTCCGTCTTCAAAGTCGCCGTCGAGCCCGTCAATCCGTCTGAGCTGCCCAAAATGCTCGAGGGTCTCCGAAAAGTCAACAAGAGCTACCCGCTGATTTCTACTAAAGTAGAGGAGTCTGGCGAGCATGTCGTCCTTGGAACGGGTGAGCTCTATATGGATTGTGTGCTCCATGATTTACGGAGACTGTATTCAGAAATGGAGATCAAAGTTTCAGACCCTGTTACGCGCTTTTGTGAGACTGTTGTGGAGACCTCCGCTATCATGTGCTATTCGATCACGCCAAACAAGAAGAATAAGATTACAATGATCGCAGAACCTCTTGATGAAGGAATTGCCGAGGATATTGAAAGCGGTGCCGTCAATATCAAGGACCCAATTCGCAAGGTGGCGCACTTTTTTGAAGAGAGATATGACTGGGATAAACTTGCAGCGAGAAGTATCTGGGCCTTCGGTCCAGACGAGATGGGCCCAAACATCCTACAGGATGATACGCTACCGTCCCAGGTCAACAAGAAATTACTCGGGAGTGTGAGGGATTCTATCACACAGGGGTTTAGCTGGGGAACAAGAGAAGGCCCTCTTTGTGAAGAACGTAAGTACACCCATGCTGTCTTGAACGCTGGGAGGATACAGCGCCCGAGTCCTGCACACGTGGACCACAGCGACATAAAGAAAAGAGGGCAAAGATGGGAAGTAGTTCATAATGACTAACTGCGACTATAGCCATTCGGAATACAAAATTTAGGCTCACTGACGTTTCTCTCGCCGACCAAGCCATCTACAGAGGCGGTGGTCAGATCATTCCCACGGCTCGACGAGCAATTTACTCCTCTTTCCTCATGGCCTCCCCTCGCCTGATGGAACCCATTTACTCCTGCACGATGACAGGGCCGGCAGATGCCGTCGCATCAGTGTACACAGTCCTTTCGCGCAGAAGAGGTCATGTACTCTCAGATGGGCCGATAGCAGGTACACCACTCTATTCCGTCCGTGGTTTGATCCCGGTGATAGACTCGTTCGGATTCGAAACAGATCTCCGAATTCATACCCAGGGTCAAGCCGCTGTTAGCCTTGTCTTCGATAAATGGAACGTCATTCCGGGGGATCCACTGGATCGTGATGTCAAGGTAAAGCCCTTGGAGATGGCGCCGGCGATGGCCACGGCCCGTGATTTTGTTTTGAAAACCAGAAGACGCAAAGGCCTAGCTGAGGATGTCACCGTGAGCAAGTTCCTGGAACCGGAGCTCTGGAAGGGCCTGAAGGAGAGCGGCGTCTTGGACTCATGAACTCTTTTGTTGAAGTCAAGAAAGAAACAGCATTAAGCGCCGTAAGCAGCTATTTCCATATGATTGTATAACTATCGCAAGTATCCAATCAAGTCATCATTGAAATCGCGTATTTATACGACATAATTCAAACGCCAACGCTGGATGCGAATGGTGTTTGGATTATGGTGTCGATCGAATCATTGGCACGTTTCCAGCATTTTCGCAATAACGCCCATTAGTGTCCCATTCTCTAGTGCAGCAGCCACTCTTTCTTTATCGGCTAATTGTTTATTGACTTCATCGGCTGTACTATGCGTTCCTTCTTTGATCCGCACGTCCACACGGAACCGCGGGGGTAGCGACTGTTCAAGCCGGACTCGTACACCAAGGCCTATGACTGTGGCCAAACTGCAATGAGTTATCGTCGGAGTGATAAGGACGGTCACCGTTCGAAGAAGAGAGCTCGGTACTTCCGGAAGTGTCGGTCTGATGAAAATGTCAGGAAGCGACACAACCGCCAAAGCTCCCAACGAAATGGGATGCTCCGGGTCGGATATAGTTGACACAAGATCTAGGAGACCGTCAGACACTCAGCTCCCTGGCATCTCTTAAAGCAGGTGTTCAAGGTGGTCGATCGGTATACCATATATCTCCTGTTCATCAATCGGTTCTTCCATCAAACCAGTATCATCGTCAGACTCTTCGGATTCATAGGGACTGAGAGCGAGGTCAGTGGGGTGTACTAGAGAGGAAAGCGTTAACGCAAGGATTCCGCCTCTGTAAGTGCCCGATTTGCGAGATGATGCAGGACGCAGCCGAGTGGGAAGATCTGCAACGTTTAGGATAGTAGGATTCGAATTCTGCATTGCGGGCTCCATTTTTCGGTCCGGTAAGTACTGAGTAGGGCCTATAAACAGAGATACACAAAGCCTTGAGAGGGGCAAATTGACGCAAGAAAGGGTGTTAATTGAAACCGAGCGTGTAGGTACTACCTAGTAAGGCGGTATCTTTTCTGAAAGGAAATGGAACAACATTTTTCCATTAAAGACTATTATAGGTCTCACATTCAAACTTTCAATGCGAATGCTCTGGCAAAGTGTTATGTTGTTCGTGACATAAAGTCTCAGTAACATCACAAGTGAGAATGCTAGTTTTGCAAGCTAATACTGCCTTGTATGTTACGGTACTATACAAGATGTCGTGCAATGTACCCCTCATCCAACAATTACGTAGGATTTCTGCAATGCGGTAAGTCCGAATTTGTCAGCATGAATGGATGCCATGAAAGCTAGAATTATAATTACTACATAGGAAGTCCGTTGTTAGCATGCCATACTAGATAGTCAATCGGTTGCGCCGCTCCCACAGTTTGTGGTAAAAATTACCCAACCAAGTAACAGCCTCATATGTTTATCGAATCTAACAAAACTGTAGCCAGAAGCAGTGAATGGAGGGATTGATTAAGAAATGTTTGGCAATCCATGGATCATGATTCATATCCCTATCTCATCACTCGGAATGCACATCTTTAAAGGGGGCTATTGCTGGTAGAAAACCATGTTGCTCCGTACCGTAGAGTGTAGTACGGTCTTGTGGACTCCATACCCACGGGGATATACTTTGCGCAGTAGCCTACTCAAGCAAGTACTAGATCTTAATCCTACGACAGGCGCAGGAAAATCCCATAGGGAAACCAATAGTAGTCATAATTCACAATCCGTAGTTCGGAGCACTATCTTCCCGGCTAAGAAGATCAATATCCTTGGAAGCCGATTTTAACTAGAGGTCGTCCCTCCCGTGAGGAGGGACGGGGACATGAATGATGAGGCCCAGGTCCTCCGTACTCCGTACATGAAGACGCTGCGCTACTACATGCTACCTAGTACTTACCCTGGGCGCCACTGGGGACTGCGGTAGTCCCAGCGGATTCCCCCAAAGTTCCGAGGCGATCCTCGAAAGTGGTGCAAACGCCGCCGTACCTATCCTTTCCACCACGCGCCCAATTTTGCTCCTTAGGAAATTGAACGTAAACCCACATCTGTTGTCGGGTCTCCGCACACTCCTCGCTGTTTATTGACCGATCGCTCGGGCTTCCGCGCAATACGGACCACCCTGTCTGGTATCTACCTACTGCTTAGGAGAATGAGGCGGCAAAGAGTGTGATGACTTAGCTAAGGAGACAGCATCAGATTCCCGCACCCCCCCCCAGTGTACGGAGATCCTGTTTCCACACGGGAAACCATTGATTGCATCGGTGGGCTTTTGATTCCCCTGGTGCTCTTATTGTTTTGTCACTTGTTTATTGTGCTATTATCCCAAGCTTCTGCTGCCTTTGCAGTACCTATCCTTTCATGCTCGGCTTTTCATCTAGCTGTCTGCATAGGAATCACACTTCATCCAGATGGTGACCTTCACATCGGGGTGTAATGCGCCAATCCAGTTCATCTTCCTTCATATTCAATTATCAATGGCAAGTTTCACCTACTGACGCTACTGGACTACGATGCAGACTGGATGAGAAATCATTCATTCCTGACTACCATGTACGTATCATTAGCTCCTTCCCTCCAACGCCCCCTCACATGGTCCGAATCTCTTATCATGCCCTTCCAACGTCATGCCTTCTTGTTCGCCGCCTATGATTATTCCACCTATGCTGAAAGCCATGGTCTGGTTACTCTCAATCGCTGTGTACTTGATGCCATTCTGTTCTACATTTTTAGCCCAGTGTGTCACTGTCGTTCTGTCTTTTTCTATTTTGCCTATACAACTTCATGTTGTCAACAATAACTGACGAGTCGTACTCCATGATCGCAGCTTTATCAACTACATCCTTTTGCTGAGATCCAGGTCTCACTTGTGACCGATTCATGAAATTGTTGTCAGTCCCAACCTAGTTGAAGCCTACGGTTTGTCAATGCGTCACACCGAGGCCCCCAGCTCCTAGAATCTTATTACCTTCCTAGTCGCTCTGCCTTTACAAGCATCTGCGACTCGGGCGGTTGTCCATATCGGAGCCAGGATAATACAGTACAGAAACTGCAAGACACCCTCCATTACTGCCGGATAACCTTTTCAACAAGTGCAACGGTATTTCAACTGAGATTCTCGCTCTCGGCCGCAGCCCACTACCTCTATTTTTCCTCTTCCTTCCTTACTGGGGCGAGTGTGAACATCTATTGCGCAGTTGTGATATCGAAGCTGCTCCATCGTTGAGCCCGTCCGAGCTGGTTCGAACGGTGGAAGGTTCGGGATATACCCTACATTGATTTCATCTGCACAAGGCAGGCCTTGTGGTTCCTCTCCTTTACCTTTCTTCTTCCAGCTATTTCGAAACGGTTACATGCTTGTCGGTCCATTTTCCCTAGCTGTCTCATATTCATTGTTGCAGTCTTTACGCGAAAATGCAAGGCTTCTCGTTTGCGCCTCCGACAGGACCCCCGAGGGAAGGCCAGAAAAGTAAGAGCTCCTGAATCCCCACCCAGATCTTAGATTCACTGCTTGCCCGAGTTACGCACTCCAGACACCATCAGTCATCTTGAATCGCATGTTGACGGCTCTTGATGCAGACTATGTTTTCGTCGATGAACATAACAGGCATAAGCGGCTTAAAGGTACGTCTGGCTGCTAGCAGGCTTCTCTTCTTTGAGTCTGAGTTGACGGCTGTCTCCAGTTATGCGAGCTTGTAATGGATGCAGGAAGCGAAAGATTAAGTGCGATGCTGCTACGACAAACACCTGGCCCTGTTCAGCATGCACTCGCTTGAAATTAGTATGCGTCCCCCCTACAATCGGGCACGATGGCGAGTATTCAGCAGCGGAAAGCGTCGAGGCCAACACTAGCGACGCTTTAAACGCATCCACCGCACCAGAACCTGCACTGTCTTCATATACCTCTCAATCTTTTCGAGATGGTGGTCAGCCCGCGATTGGTAACATGCATCCATATAATGACGGCATGGGAATGTATCCCCAGTTTGCGCATTCTACTTCCAGCCAACCCAATGTTTACGACATGCGATCGTCCCAGGTTTCCGTGCCTCACCAGTATCAGCAACCACCGATGTTTCCCGGCGACCAAACTCAGTCTCTGGGGACTGCAGAAAGTGATCTATATGGTGAACACGATCAATCCACTGCCGAGAATCTCAGCGAGGTCTTAGGAGAGCTCAGGATAGATGAGACGGGTATCGGTAAGACATTCTAGTCCCTGATAACTGATTCGAGTCGGACTTCACTGACGTGATCATAGCGCCGTATATTAGGCAGCAGAGGAGAGAGAGGGCCGAACCGGAAATTCCGACTCAAGACGAAATAGACGAAAAGTTGCCGCCTCTCAGCACTGGAGCTGGGTCCACCATACGCATTCCGCCTGAACTTATGCCATCTGATGACGAGGTCATGAATTACTTCAAGATATACTTTGATGATATACACCCCTACGTCCCTGTCATCCATCGATCTCATCTATACTATCAATGGCAACATGAACGAAGTTCAATCTCCCCGCTTCTGCTCGAATCACTATTCGCGTGCGCGGGGAGACTGTCGGACGATCCAGCTCAAGGAGCACAGTGGCTCGCATTAGCGAACAGTAAGGCGATAACCTAATTCCAATTCGCCTGCATACCATATTATATACTGATTGCAAAATATTCTTATCAGGGCACGAATCGAGTTTTATGGACGAACCTCGCCTGAGTACGATACAGGCTCTGCTTCTGCTACTGAAGGCTCGAGAGTCACGCCCCAAAAAGGGCTATTATTATCGTTCTTGGCAAACGGTCAAGACAATCATATCTATGGCGAAAGACTTGGATATCCACGAGCATAACAATCTTCACACGGAAGACAAGCCTTGCGACTTGAATCCAGTGGAATGCTTGGTGCAGACAAGGGTCTGGCAGGCCCTCCTAGTCGTTGAAGTTATGATTGGGGCGCCACAGGGTACGTCATCTGTTTCTCGTAGGCTTATTTTGGCTGATGGGTTGCAGGTCGCTCGGATTACGGTGTGGACCCTGAAACAGTAAATATGAGTCCAACGTTGTACATCAGAGGTCTTGATCAATTTGAATTGGATCGGTCTAGACAGTATGCATACTTCGTCCGAAACGCGCGCCACATTCGTATCATCGCCGACATATATCATAAGATAAAGAAGCAAAAGGATTGGGGGGCCAATCCCAAATTCGTTGAAAAAAACCCTCTCTTTACCGATTGGCTCCAAAGCCTACCCTCAGATCTTCAAGTGAACTACCCTCCGGATGGGTCACCGCCATGGATACCGTCACACTTTGTTGGAAACATGCATTCGCATTGTCATCTTGGAATCATCTTATTGCATCGTCCACAACTGATTGCTTCCAAGTCTTTTGCGGCAGGGGGTGGTTGGAAAATGCATATGGCACTATGCTACTCCTCTGCAAAATATTTGTGCAGGCTTCAGGAAGCCATTTTGAATCGTTTTGGACTGTGTGGCCTGCTTTTTATGCAAAGGGGCATCAATTTCACAATATACACTATTTTGACATGTACAATGCTGCACCTTGTGAGTCTTTACTGCCTGTTCAAAGATCTAGGGAGCAGCTAACACTATAACAGGTGGCGATAACATCTCCGGATCCAAATTTCCACACAGATGCACGGGAGTACTTCACGCGACACATGCGTATCCTCGAGCGATGTTCCTCTGCTTGGCCTATGCCAGAATTGCAAGCGCAAATCGATTCCTTACGGTTTGCATTTTCCGCCGATGTGAATCGGCCTTTTGAACTAAAGCCGACATTCCCCTACGGGAGTCCTTCCGAGTCATACCACCCAAGTCCGCCACTAGATTCTCATTACGGACCTCAAATAAACCAAGTGTCCAGCGTTCAAAGTAGAGTGGGTTATACAGCTTATCCAGTAACCCCTCCAATATCAGCCGGTACTGAAGACTCAAAGTCCGACTCCTCTCAGCTTCAACCATTGGGATTGATTCCGTCTCATTCAATGTCCACCCATGCGATAAATACACCTTTAGTTGACGAGAATAGCTGGGATCCTACTCGCATCATCAAGTAAGGATAAGAGCCAAGAAACAACTTCTACCCAAAGAGATTCCGGTGATGCTAATAACCTCTAGTCAGTGGGATATGGCGTTTTCTATTGGTACACCCACTGTGACCACGAATTCACCCCCGATGGCTTTGAGCAACACTCAAGCAGTCCAACCCTCTTTGCCCGAACACTTCCCCGTACCATATGAACAACAATCTAAGGTTGCTTCGGTCGCGCCGACTCCTGTGCCACACGCTCAATTCACTGGGCAGCAAGTTCTGTTCACAGCACGAGACTGGCAACAGAGTGTTGCCAGTGTGTATGATCCAAACGGTCTCAAACGACGATGGAATTATTCCGTCGATATGGGGACAGAAAATACTTCGAAGCGTCAGCGTTAATGAGGACATTTACATTTATGTGGTCAGGAGTGTAAGATGCTGGAGTGCTCGTGCGGCGGTCAGTAGCTATGTTTTGTGGCGGTTATGTGGGTAGGTTCATCTGCCATTCTGCCACTTTCGCATCTCTTCATAGTAGCTTGTTCCCATAGGAATGCTTCGCAACCGGACCGAGGCTCTCTATTGAAGGCAGGAACTATCGAGCGGAGCGACGATCTATCCGTGGGGACACAATACCAAAGATTAATTTTATCGGTTTTTTAACCAGTTGGTTCATCCTACTTCATACTATTGTGGAGGCTACAAGTGGCTCACAAAACGATGCCTTTGCCACGTAATGTGACTAAACTATTCATTTTTTCCAGCTGTAATAAAGCCAGTTCAAACAAATCGTTCCAGATGAAGTTGAATATCATTGCGCATGGACCATTAGTATTAACGTGGTGTTGTGAAACATGTAAAGATAGCCCACGACATGGAAATAATCAGAACCATTTCTGTCCAGGCTAAGAGGCACTCAGTTGACTTCGGTCATCAAGGCAGTTGCTGCAAAACGTGTTGGCAAAGACTAGGACAGAGCTCCAAGACATCATGTAGATTGATGTGTCGAAAAATTAGGGGCGGCAACTTTATATGTCAGAGGCGTCGATTGATGCCGATTCGCTCTTCACGTGAACGAACGATCCTCGCCTTATCCCCTGGCAATGGTTTTAGCTCGTCGCTGGGGTCAAGATCGACATGGGAGCTGATGCTGGCCTGGCCCTGGGTAAATTTTTCTTTCGAGAGTTTGCGGAGTCGTTTTTCTTCAAAGGCAGCAAGATCCTCGGAAGTTATGGCTATTGCAGTTGGTTTGCGACGCAGCATATCTTTTTCCTAAAATCAAAGTATAAGAATGGCAGTTGGTGTGAAAATAGGCTGCTTGGTAAAATGACTGGAATATGACTATTCAATGTTCATGACCGGGCAGCGGCTACCGTTGGCGGACACCACGTGATCTTGCAGCACTTAGTGGTGACGAACAAATTTAGCCTCAGTCTTATCAGACCCTTGGATCCTCACCAACAAAGATGCTCCAACATCGGACCATGCTCTCACGCCGTGAGCATCTGAAGGCAGTAGGGGGGTCTCTGTCTCTCATTCGCCGGTTTTCGGCTACTCAGATTCAGGCGAAAAACAACACAAGTGAGCCATGTAAGTGTTACATCTTAGTCTCCCTTTTCCATATCCACATGGCATGTCTCCTCTTTTCTATCTATCCTTCTTCGTCCTCTCCGACTCTCTGCCTCGGAATTAGGCTCGCCCAACTTGCTGTGTTTGTCTATTTTCCATAACCGGTCACTGATCGCTATAGCCACCCGTGGAATAAGAAGAGACAATGTTCCACCAGTGAATTTGAACTTTAGAAACGCCAATACCGATCGACCTCGTCCCCGACGGATAATTGATGCGAGATCTCTCGCCGCGTCTCGAACCGCTGGCCAACCAGCGAATATTCTCAAAGGTCCCAGAGCTCGAACACTTCCGAACAGCGGCGGACCAGCACTCACTCGAAGCACCAGAAGGATTACGAAGACAAAGCTTGCATCCAAAGACAGGAGACAGGGCCGCCCCCAACGATCACAGGAACTCGGGGGTGAATCTGAGGAGTTGTATCATGAAGCCGCGATCAATTCCGTGTATCGAGAAATCACGGAGCAAGCCCAACCCAGGCTTATTCGATACAACCCCAACTCGGTTTCGTTGTCATCGTTGAGGGAGACGTGGCCTTCATTTCCTTCCGATATCCGTGCTAATACCGCCGGCGTCGTCGAAAAGTTGTCATTATTCAGCGACCGCTTTGCCAATGGCTATGTACCGCCATATGAGCTGGGTAGGCGGCTATACCAGGGGAAATATGTCCGCTTTGCCAGTGAACAAGAAAGGTCTGAGGCAATTTTTGAGGCGAACAAGCTCTCCCAAAAACATGCGGACAAGCTGTCTCAACAGAAAGGCGATCTTGTAGATCCAAATCATGTCAACTTCAGACCAATCAACACAAAGGACCAGAATACACTTATTGGGTTGCTTGTCAAGGGCATCTATCCTAAGTCAGAAGACAAACAGGAGGACAAGTTGTCAGTCCTTGACCAGGTTTCGGAAAACCTCAGAAATAATGCGACGTATCAGACGGTTGGGAAGAGTTCTACGTTCATTACGAAGTTGGATTCGCTTTTAGCATCGAGTCGCCCTACGAAACGCGCTTGAAACTCGGGTATCCCAAATCCTACTGTACAGTATTGTGTTTGTGTACCTCTAATCTTGCATTTTTCATGGTTTTCCTCTTTCATGTCATTTTGCGCTTGGCTTTCTCCCATATTCTTGGTCAATGGTCCGCATGAATATGCCGATTGATTTCATGTACAAAACCCATGTCTATGACACTGATTGATAGATAACTCAAAGTATGCTCTGTGCTACAAAATTCGGCAACCCTCTCCCTTCACTACACCCGTTCCATGGCCTTCCTTGTAGCCTGAAATAATTCCTTTAGATCCTTTTGTCCTTTTTCTGTAAGCTTTTCCATCTGTTCCTGCGCTTTCCGAACATCACCCGGTCTAACAATCTTCTTTTTTTGCAGGTCCTGAAGACGTTTATGGACAGCACCCCGTGAGTCACGAACGGCACCTGCTGCTTTTTCCATTGCCGCCTTCGCAATAGTGATCGTCTGGTCCCGAGATTCTTTAGTGGGTGGGGGGATCGTAATGTTGAGCTGAAGACCGTTATGGGGGTCAGGCTGAGGATTTAGGGAAAGATTGGAAGAAATGATTGATGAAGTGATCGGTTTCACATGCTATCGTTTCAGTTAGTGTTAAGAACGTATATAAAACCAAAGATCCCTTTAGAAGCCTGAGCAACCGGGAGAATTGACAACTCACATCGTCTTCGGAGGCTAAGATAGTCACAATCCGTCCACTCTTGGGAACTACTTGGGCCAGGTCACCCAACCTCACCGTTTCCTTGCTACCTTTGCTCAGCTGTACGCGGAGATTCTCGATCGATCCAGTATTGAACCGACCCCCCACACGCAACTTGGAGAGGTCGTCTCTGAGTCGAGACAGTGCAGCTGCTATACCATCATGCAGCTGTGAAAAGTCATGAGGATCTTCGGACGGCACTCCGGCTTTTGACAACAGCTTCCCAGAATCTGTACCAGTGAGGGCTCTCGTTTTCTCCTTCTTCTTCTTCTTGTATAAGAAGGGTGAAGTGGAAAACCTTCTGTTCTTATGTAGAGCTACTGGCCGGTACTGCGACCAGCGCGGAATTTGATGCTCGGAGAAAAGATTGGGACGAAACCCATGAAGTACAGGCCAACAGCGGAAGCGGGTAACCGCTGGATAGCACTGCATGTCTCGTTCTCTGCGCCCTTCGAGCCCCTTTTGGTCGACGGCGTTATATAGGGTATCGTTGGAGGTGACAGCGGCAATATAGATGTAGTATTGCTCACGACTGACTCCGTAGTGATCGTTTCAGAAAGTTGGACGGATAATCGCGGAATAAAAAAGTCCTCGGGTGCTACAGACGCCTCCCGGGTACACTGCATAGCTCTAAACGGGAGGCGCTATATCTACCGATTCATCACCTGACAAGCTATCGAGGGTAGACACGCGATACAAGGTGTCGACATCAAAACCGACTAACTAGTATGGATGTAAGAGGAGGCGATTTAGCTTAATTTGTTCCTCCACAGTACACAATATATAGATTAATGGGGATGCGAGTCAATTTAATCCAGTCGAACGATGGATACCCTCCCTGTATTCACCCGATGAGCGGCTCATCAAGATCATTAGAATGCCAAAACAAGTTCATCTAAAGACATTTCATGAATTACTTTTCGCAATTTTGTATCCGGTCATGAATAAACACGCCTCATCTAAAAAGGTTTCCGTAGACGACATAAGGGTCTCCAATCTAAGGTGAGGAGAGCGAATTGGCCACTCTGCGCAAAATCCGATAGAAGAAACTGCAAAGGGAGATAATGAGAAGGCAACGGCAATTTTACGATGCCGCAGCTAGAACCGTAATAAGCAGACAGAAATTCCGTTACCGGGTGGCCATGGCCTTGGTAATAAGTCTCTTGAGAGCAAGCTCCTTCTTCTTAAGGTCTTCGGGGGTAGAATCCTCAATCTCGAGCTGAGCCATAGCATCGCTGAGAGCGGACTCGATCTTCTCCTTGTTGCCACGCTTAAGCTTCAGTGACATGGTGGGGTCGGAGACAATTTCCTCCACGCGCGAGATGTAGGACTCGAGCTGTTGGCGGGACTCGAACTTCTTGGTGAAAGCCTCATCGCTAGACTTGAACTTGGCGGCGTCTAAAGGAAGGTGCCAGGTCAGCCACAGTCGTTGCATACTAAGCAATCAAACTTACCATCGATCATTTGCTCAATTTCAGTTGTAGAAAGCTTGCCGACGGCGTTGGAGATGGTAATGTTGGCAGTACGGCCAGAAGACTTCTCAGTTGCAGTAACCTTGAGGATACCGTTGACGTCGACCTCGAAGACGACCTCAAGGGCAGCCTCTCCAGCCCTCATGGGAGGGATAGGGGCAAGGGTGAACTCGCCAAGGGAGGTGTTATCAGCGCAGTTGGTACGCTCACCCTGGTAGACGGGGAACTGCACAGTCGTCTGGTTGTCCACAACAGTGGTGAAAGTACGCTTCTTGATTGTGGGGACAGTCTGGCCGCGAGCCACAACGGGAGCGAAAATGTTACCCTCCATGGCAACACCAAGAGACAATGGAACAACATCCAGCAGCAGAAGGTCCTGGGTCTCGGCCGAAGAAGCCTTTCCAGACAGAATACCAGCCTGCACGGCGGCACCGTAGGCAACGGCTTCGTCGGGGTTGATGCTCTTGCATGAGTATTAGCATAGTCCACTTTGGTTTACTGGGACGAATGTTACTCACCTTCTCTAGCTTCTTGCCATCGAAGAAGTCGCTGAGCAGCTTCTGAATACGGGGGATACGAGTCGAACCACCGACAAGCACGATTTCATCGACCTGGCTCTTTTCAAGTCCAGAATCCTTAAGAACCTGCTGAACCGGCTCCAAGGTACCGGAGAAAGACTTAGCGTTAAGGTCTTCAAAACGGGCACGAGTAACGGAAGAGTTGAAGTCCTCGCCATCGAACAGGGAGTCGATCTCAACAGTAGTCTGGGTTGCATTGGACAATGTACGCTTAGCACGCTCACAGGCGGTTCTCAAACGGCGAAGTGCTCTCGCATCACCGGAGAGATCCTTGCCAGTCTTGCGCTGGAATTCCTTCTTGAAATGGTCCAGGAGGTTGGTGTCGAAGTCCTGTCCACCGAGATGAGTATCTCCAGCAGTAGCCTTGACAGTGAAGACACCTCCTTGAATGTTAAGGAGAGAGACATCAAAGGTACCACCACCAAGATCGTAGATAAGAACGTTACGTTCCTTATCAGACTTGCCAGAGCCAAGGCCGTAGGCGATGGCAGCAGCAGTTGGCTCGTTAATAATACGAAGCACATTGAGCCCAGCAATGGCACCAGCATCCTTGGTGGCCTGGCGCTGGTTGTCGTTGAAGTAAGCAGGCACAGTGATGACGGCCTTTTCGACCTTCTTACCAAGCTTGGTCTCTGCAACCTCTTTCATCTAGAGAGAATTATTAATATGCAACCTAGAAAAAAGACGTGCGCTTTATTACCTTCATCAAGACCATAGAGGAGATCTCTTGGGGGCTGAAAGTCTTGGTTTCGCCGAGGTATTCCACTTCCACGACGGGGTTTCCACCCTGATCAACGACCTTGAAGGGCCATGACTCAACGTCCTTCTTGACGATGGGGTCCTCAAAACGCCGACCGATGAGACGCCTAAACTCGATTAAAAGCCGTTTTCCAAGACTGACGGAAGGCTGTAGCCACAATTTAGGCTTACTTGATATCAAAGATGGTGTTCGTCGGGTTCATAGCGGCCTGGTTCTTCGCAGCTTCACCGATCAAGCGTTCCTTGTCGGTGAAAGAAACGAAGGACGGGGTAGTGTAACTACCCTGCTCGTTGGCAACTGGACGTTGTAAGCAAGCTGGACGCGTGTTCAAAGTATACAAGTAATAACATACTGATCTCTACATTGGTACCCTCATAGTTGGCCACACAGGAGTAGGTGGTTCCTAAAATATTTTGTCAGTAACGGTTTGCCGCAGGGTATATGAGAGATAGAACTTACCAAGATCGATGCCGATGGCACCTTCGTAAACTTCGTCAGCCATTTTAACAGAAATATGTGTCTCAAAGGTATAGGATGGAAAAATTGAAACGAAGCCAGAAGGCAAGACGAACGTTGGAGGAAGAGAAGACTAAATAAATTTCGCCCCAGGCGTTGAGGTGGGAGCGGTTAAAATTTGGATGAAAAAAAAAGAACCCACTTTGCCATTTTCATTTTCCTCCTTCCAATTTTTTTTTTTTTTTTTTTTACCCTTCCAACCCAATTCAAGTTCTCTTTTTGGCTCCCTCGGCTGAGGTAAACTCAATCCAAAGCCCTGGTTGGCTGCTAGGCACCTTATATAATCATGCAAGCCTTCCTCCAGGGCTATCTGCAACTATTACGGACTATTAACATAGTAGATAGTGTACACCTACCTAGATACCTTACTCCTCTATTCCTGGGACGCAAAGGCCCAAGTTGCACTCCGTACAAGCAATCTTCATACAAGTAAAAGGCAATTAATATTGCAGAGCGAGTCTCTATGAGAACACCCAGCCGTCCTGAGATGTCGGAAGCAAAGTCAAAAACATCCATTATCCTACATGGAAGGTATTTCAAATATAGGCAATCTCTCAAGCACATCCAGCTCCATTAAAGTGATCTCGCCATTGGTCTATTGGAACATAAGCCTGATCGATCTACTCGTCTTGGATGGTTCAATTCTATATATAATTATTGATACCTTAGGCACTAAAGCGGGTAGCTACTCCACTATTATCCTAAACAGCTGGATGGTCACTTGAACATCTCAATAGTCTCTACACTTTCGAAGCAGGTCTGCTTCAATTCACGCATACAAGCCTTTGTTGCACTGAAACCCAATTAAAGAAAAGGTGCGAAAGGTAGTCAATACAAAAGTGTTTTGCGTCGATCTGGCATTTGAAGTCCGGCCACGCGCTTGCTTCTCAGCCTGCAATCAACGGACTATCTACTCGTGAGTGTCTACTCAGGCCTCTGTCAAGCTCAGCCTATCTTTCATTCCGAGACCTTGCAGCATCCCACTTTCGATAAAACGCTTCCTTCTGACAGCGATCAGACCTTAGTGATACCCATAGACTCCGCCCCGCTACCCCCGCTTTTCCAGATGGACATCGATCTGAGCAGAAGGAATAAAAAACCCCGCCCTTTGCTAGAATCCGAACGGGACAGGCTCGAAGAATTCATTGATTCTATTCATTATTCAGCTAGGTATGTCGCGAATCAGCTGGATCCCTTGGCCCTTGGGTCTTTGACCTTACGATTTCAGATACTCGGACGATCAATTCGAATACCGGCATGTTCAACTTCCCAAAAACATGTTGAAAAAAATCCCACCCGACTATTTTGACAGTTCAAAAGGAACGCTTAAGTTACTGTGGGAAGATGAGTGGCGAGCGCTGGGAATTACGCAAGTATGTAGATCCTCAATCAGACTTGGAAGTTCAAGAGATCTAACGCTGATTATCAGAGCCTGGGCTGGGAACATTATGAAGTGCATGAACCAGAACCACATATCCTTTTATTCAAGTAAGTATAATGGGTATCTTCCCTCCTACAACTACTAAAAAATGCATACAGGCGCCCCCTGAACTACCAGCCCCCAGTATCGCAGTAGATAGTCGGACGGAATTCAATCAGAGGTTAAGCCTGCCCCTGTTGCTTCTGGGCATATTAATACGACGAAGAAGATAAACAGCAAACAGCCGCAGATCAAGGAGCCGCACATACAGAAAAAATCCGTTTCAATTATGCAACCAGATGCTTCTTCCTGGAAGTTTCAAGTTTCGAAATGGGATATTCTCATTTCCTACCACAGAATGCCTCATAATTATCATCTGCACTTGATTCTCTATCCCCTGTTATCATACAAATTTCTGCTAGCACAATGCCTTAAGCTACATTCATGGCCAACCATTGCTCCCATTGTGTGGCCGTGAAGCTGCTGCTGATATTCGGCTCTTCGACGCCCTAAACAGTGGAATCAGTGCACCAAATTGCCTAGGGTATATAATGGGGCACCTTACATTGAAATATACAGTCGGGGAGACATGAACGCCAATAACACGATCCGACTGTATCTCCGCTTAGTTTTCAATGGTGTAACGACCTTACTCGGTGACGCACCTTGACCATCAATTTGATATCATTGGTCACCTTGTTACCGGAATTTAACTGCCCATCACCAATAACTTCGCTGATTCTCAATAAGTCGATCATCTCATCTTCATCCACACCAACTGTCACAGCGATCTTTGCCAGCCTCTGATATGTTTTATTACGTGTCTCATTGACAACATTGACATCAAAGAATTCTTCTTGGTGATTGAAAAGTGCAGCGCTGAATTCCCAGAATTTGTCTGGGGCTATCTTCAGAACAGCTGCGCCGGCTTCATGCGTCAGAGTCGATGATGGGTGCCAAGGCTGAATATGCTGGCGAAAAATGACCTGGAGTTTCTGTTGATATTTTTGTATAACAATTGGCTTCACTGATGTGTAGAATGTGTTGAACAACTTCGCAGAGAACTAGAGGTAGATGGTTTAGTAATCCTTACAGAACACAGTACTAGGAATACTAACAGGGCAGACATAGTTAAGGTCTTGAATCACAAACAATGTGTTAGTCGATGAGTATAGAAAGTCAGCGTCTTAGCATACAGAGTTCAAGGGTATGCTGCGGCTGCTGGAAAGCCACAGCCAGCAACTTCTGTCCCGCGAATCTTGGTTGGGGGGCCATGAGCACTATGGAACAGGCTGTCTTTCTTGAAAGTGGAGGACTAAAAGGAAGCTGCTCGTTTAGAGTGGAATAAATAGGATGTCCAAACAAGCTGCCAATGTAACCCTTTCTTCCCGGTTTAACCCCCGGCGGATGCAGATGATTACGACATAAACTAACTAGTTCTCCAAGTACTCCTCAAATTACCCGGATTACCCTTCTCACAAACCAGTTCTAGCAGTTAGTTATCATATGGTAAAACTCCGAATGGTATTCATCGGTCACACATTCTAGCTTATAGGTAATTCACCTATTCAGCATCGATCATCAAGGTCTGGGTAGCGTTGAATTCATGGTTATTTTTGAAACGATTTCGATTAGATTACGGAGTGCTACGTATCTATATTAAAACTCTCTTTATTTGCCGAAGCGATAGTATTGAGTAGTTAGTATGTGAGCAAGCTGATAAGATCTGAGGTTGGAATAATATGAGATTTTCACTAGCCTACACCGTTGATTCCATATATCCATCTGGCAAATTAAATGATAATTTGAGAAGTCGCATATACAATTGGTTAGAAGGCCGTTAGATGCCATCTTGGCCCTAAACTAGGCATCAGCTTTTCCCTTCCGTGTTCACCGAATAGTACAACGATATAAGGACCATTTGACATGAAAGGCAAGGATCTGTTCGAACTACCGGTAATCTACACATCGTGGACAAGTTTACAGCCGGAGCATACGGGCTTTACTAACGAGTGCCAAGGGCTCTTTGATTGAATAGGTTGAGATCCCTGATATCCATCGAGACAGCAATCCATTGAGACGCCATCACATCGTATTCTCCTTTCACCTCGACTCTGCAAATTCCATTGGGGCCTCTAATTCCAACAGGGCCAGAAATATACATGACGCCACGAGGAGAAGAGTGCATTCTGCGGGCCCAGCAGTAATTCAGTCGCCATTTGAATGCCAACAGCGCCATGCGTAAATCAGAACCGGAACCAAGGTTCGGTAGAGGCAACCTGTGCAACGTAGAGATGTAAGGGTGTAGCCGGGAGGCGTTTCTGGTTAAAGAGGTGCCTTCTTGGGAGCTGAGTGGAGGTGGCTGGGATACAGACTGAGAAAGGTCATTCAACCCATCCAGCCCTCGTAAGCCTGATGACAATGAATTGTCACGCAAGGAAATCGGCGACTCAACTGTCTGCTCCTCATCCGAGCTTGTGCTAAACCGAGAAAGCTGCCTACTCCATAAGACCGAAAAAGCATCCTTAATTGCATGCGCCACAGATAGAGGCCTCGTCCATCTTTGGAGACGGTCACCGTCTTCAGCGGACATGGGCTTCAAAACCCAGGAGAAGCCGTCCCGAGAAATTTGTAGTCTACGGCAATGAGACACGGCTATCAAATCATTCGGAAAGTACATACCCGGGTCGATAATAGGCAGGAGGTGCACGGTATGGAAATCGATGTTCTAGCCAGAATGCTGCGACGGAGAGCGGACCGCCCAGCATATGAGAAAGCAAACTTGAATGGGACGCGGCATCCAAAACAACCAACACCAATTCATCTGTACATGTAGTAGTTAACCTCCTCGTAAATGGATATCCGCTTGCTTAGAAATACCTTTCAAGCCAGCGAGTTTATCACGGTCGGTGGCTACTCCGTTAAAAGCCTGCCACTCCGAGTCTGTCGCTGCATAGAATTTCCCTTCGCATAGCCGAGGCCAGCCCAGTGGAATGAATCGGGCTTTCGTATCATCATCTAAGCCCGGGGGGGCATATTGGTTCCTGTCAAACTTCCCAGCTGTCGGGGCATCGGCCCTCGGCAGGCTATCGGGGGACCCATCGGCATTGTAGAGCGTCTCATCAAAACGCAAAACAACGAACGAGCTCCATGTATGAAGAACAGCTCCAGTGAGGAGAATTGTGGCAAGAACTTTCCTGCATTCATAGTGAGCAACGTAGGCGAATGTGTGACATTACTCAAGCTACTATCTGACGCGGCCTACCTGACCCAGGGGCGTTTGATCTGCAGATAGCGGACAGGGGCGTAATTCGACTCCCGAGATAATGGTTGGCTGATCCGGAATGTTATCTGGGGTTTTCGAAGTAGTCGCGCAGCACGATACATTGAAAATATGTAGCTGGTGTCGATTATATTAACAAGACATCTCAGTTCATCGATTGGCCCTAGAAATCAACACAGGCTGATTGACCGATTTTTTGATGCTCCTGTGACCAATTGAAGACTGCCTTAAAGAAATTGCAGTATCCCACCAGCACCAGAGTGTCCTAGAGTAAATTATTAAGGTAGTAATGAAAAGATATACAGGATCTGTAAGGCCATACTTACTATTAGAACAGTATAACAGCCAAGATGTATCCCGCGGGAGTCACGCTAGCACGTGAGCCAAGCCAATGTTGCCAAGTTTTGGAGTTGTGGAGTACGAGTTGGTAGATGACTTAGCATGTAGGTATTAGCTAGACTAGCTATATAAAGCACTCTATTCTCACATTCTTATATTCTTACATCTCGGACTTCTGGACCTGCTATCTAACCTGTCGCGTTGACAGGTCCAGCAAATGGGGGTGCTACGGGGTGCTACAGGCACACCGGCCAGGCTAACCTCATAGTTAACGTAATCCACAAGCGAACCGGCCACACAAGCGGACCGGCCACCCACGCGTTTTGTACGCGTCTGCTTTTTTAACTTATCTTTAAACCACCACCATGCCTCCAAAAAGGCTTCAAAAACGCTCAAAATCTACTTATTCTGAAGGTCAAATCCTGCTTGCAATATCTGCTATTCAAAATAATCAAATACATTTAATTCGTGAAGCTGCTCGTGTTTATAATATCCCGAGGACTACCCTGCAAGAACGACTACACGGGATTAAATCTCGTACAGAAACCCAACCTAATTCCCAGAAATTGACTACATTCGAAGAAGAATCAATTGTCTAGTAGATCCTATCTCTAGATTCACGCGGAGCAGCGCCCCGGCCCCAACATGTATAAGAAATTGCTAATCTTATCTTGTCCAAACGCAGAGAGATTCCAGCCTGAGTTATTAGCAAAAACTGGATATATAACTTTGTCAAGCGATGTACAGAGCTCAAAACCAGATATACTCAACATTATAATCATTAACGAGAAAAATACGAAAATCTAAAGACCATAAATAAATAGTTTACACGCGTATAAGTAATGATTATACAGTATAGAATCTAAATAAAAGATATCTATAATTTTGATAAGACAGACTTTATAATAGATCTAATATCTACTATCAAAGTAGTTACTAAAACAGAAATGACTAGCAAGCCCTTACTCGTACAACCAGGAAATCAAGAATGGGTGACATTGATTAAATATGTCAATTATACAGGCTGGGTACTCCCGCCCTGTATTATCTTTAAAGAAAAGATTTATATATAAGGATAGTATAAGAGTATATTATTACTATCTAATTAGCAGATTAAAGTTAGTAATAATGGGTGGACAATAGATAAAATCATATTTTAATGATTAGAAAAGCTCTTTATTCCAGCTACAAATGGCTGTATGACTGGCAGATTGTCAAACCCTAGGATCGCTCCTTCCTGTTCCTGTTAGCTTAGCTTCTGTTCCAATACGTACCTTTGGACTGGGTTAAGGTAAGTCAGGTTGATGACTATCTAAAGAGAACTGGTCCTGAACAGAAGAAGAGAAGTAAGGCCAGATAGTGCTGTGCAGCTATCTGTAAGTAAGTACAGATAAGTATTGTTGCTAAGCTTTATCAAAATATATGGTTACTTAAAGACAGTGTTATTAAGCATGAAGAATAGAACTAACTAAGTATATGAAAGAGTATCCTTATATTCTATTCTTTATATATCATTTCGTATATCATTCAGGGTAGATCAAGGGTTGATCTAATCATGTTTCTAGATCCTGTATACTATATTATATACTCTTAATAATAGATCTGATGATAGATGGTTACATAACACAGCACTGCCTTGGACATTACTCTAACCAGGATTCTACTCAATAAGAGTTACTGGTTGCCCAAGTCCTGCCTGGTCATCACTTTCTACCTGATGAGTCCACTCCGCTAGTAACCTGGCTAGCAGAGGTCTATAACATCACTCTTCCTTTTTCAAGATTTCTTATTCTTAAGAGATATAAAGATGCATGTCCCTCCTGTGTTAGTTAAGTTTTCTTAATTTCTCTTTTTTCTATAATAGGCCATTATATCTTATTATTACACTAATTATAATCAGATAAGGAAATATATCTATCAGTCTAACAAGATCCATAATAACAGCTTTATTACTAAGAGTTCTTACAAACATTATTTCCTAAAAGATATTTCTTATATTATAGATTTAAAAAGCTAAAATTATGCTGCCTATACTTGTTATGATTAAAAATATAAAAAATAATTTTACAGTAATAGAGAGTAGAATAAGTTAAAACATAATTAATTAAATATATAAAATAAACTTACTAAGGCCCTTGCTAAACAGGCCCGTATTACTGCCAAGATGGCTTATTTATTTAAATAATAATAGTTCTTAAAAGACCATGGCAAGCGGATGTTGAATCACGATTTAACTATATTAAAGCAGTTAGATAAAAAGGATCCTCCAAGCACTAAAGATCTCCAGAAGCTGAAATATCTAATTAATAAGTATAATACTGCTTAACTTGCTGCTGTATCAGACAATCCTAGTCTAACTCAGTTAATTAGTTTCCCTTTCTTCTGGGCGAACTTTAACCTATCTGTTAATAGTACTGCTTCACAAGCTAGTAACAGCCTGTTAAATTCTTAATAAGTTTTTACGTGTTTTCTAAGATATTATATTCTTTCTATTTTATTAGATATTATGATCTGCTGCTAATCTTCTTATAATCTAGAATCCTTTTAACTTTATATTCTTTCTTTATATTATTATTAATCTTTATATTTTCTGTAATTCTAGCATTCTTTGGTACAGGTTCCAATAATAAGATATAAAATACTGGATGAATTCTGCTCATTGATTTTAGCAATCTTAACTTATAGTTAATTAGTCTCTTCTTATCTTTAATAATAAATAGTCCTAGCTTGTGATAGTCAAGCTTCTGACTTAGTTATTTCATCTTAATATTTTTGCAGAGTAAGAATACTTTTTCTCTTTTTTTTAGATCAGGTTTCTTTTTATATCTGTGATTATAATATATCTTACTATATAAGTTTATAAACTTAATATTTTAAGATAACTGGAAATACATGTTTCCTGTAAATATAATAATATTCTCAGCTATATTAGTAACTTACTGCTTTCTTAATAACATTTTCAAAAACCTAGAGTAGTAACTGTAATTAGTATAAAACAGTAAGATTTTAATAATTAAGTAACTAGTATTATTATATAAGAACTGTATTATCAGTAACAGATTTATCTAATTATTTTACTGGTAGTTTATATAGTGTCTTAAATATTATTTAATTATTTAATTAATTCTTTCTATTTATTTATTTGTTTACAGATGGTAAGCTATTATTATTTATTCTTTAATTTTTATAAGATCTGCAAGTAATCTCTAAAACTTCAAGATAAATAACTTGTCTTAATCTAATATAATATACTTTAGTATTCTATAATATATAATAATATATTTAAGAAACAGTTTTGCTATCTATATTACTGATATTATTATCTTACTTAATACAAGATAGATATATTTTTACTAAAATAATTAGTGATGACTGTGATAGTATTGAATTTCTCTGATTTAGATAATAAATCAATAAAGTCAATTATTATCTATTTTTATAGTTACTGTGGCGCCTTTTATACTTATATTTATTTATAAGATTAATATCTTACAGACTTATTTCTAATACAAGTCTCATATTATCTAATATAATCATGTACTTTTTGTCTGAGGTTCGGAATATAGTAATTTCTTATAATTAGTTCAGTTATTTTTTCCACTTTTAAGTAATCCTTGAATAGTCTGTTATAATATCTAGCCATAATCTCTATTCTTATTATAATTAGTATAAAGATTAATCTATAAAAGTGCGCTAATCTATCTTTATTAATAATAATCTTATCTGGTAAATCCTTACTTATTTCTTAGAATATTTTATCATTCTTAATAGCTTTAGCTAATTATCTGGTTAAGTCACTACTTATTTCCAATATTGCTATTAAATTAGTCTTATTATAGCTGATTAACCCATCCCTGTTCCGCTTCAGAATGGCTAGTTTAATAATCTTTTTATTTAGTTTATAGTCTGGCCTGCGGCTCAGCATATCTACGTGCTTATTCTCTATTTTTTTATAATATATAATTCTGAAATTATATTATAACAGAATCTCAGCCTATTATGCCTGTCTTTAGATCAACTCTTTAATTATTATAAAATAAGTTAAATTCTTATAATCTATCTTTATAATAATAATATGTTTTACTTTTTCAAGATAAATCCTCCATTGCTTAAATATTATTACTATAACTAGCAATTTCTTGTTATAAATATCATAGTTGAGTTCTACTTAAACTAACTTTCTTGAATAAAATATAATCAGTCTCAGCTTTCTATCTTCTCCAGGTTGTGTTATATATATACTAACAGTATAGTCTAATATATTAGTCTTAATAATGATTTCTTTATCTGGGTCGTGCTGTATAAGTATTAGTAATATAGTAAGTCATTACTTAATATTTTTAAATACATTCTGCTATAATTCTTTTTACTAGTACTTCTTTAACTTCTTTATAAGCTTAAAGAGTGATATTATATAGATAGCATATCTGTTTATAAAGTATTAATAATAATTAACTAATTTAATAAACTATTATAGTTCTTTCAGATTTTTGGATTAAGGCTAATCCTGTATAACTTATACTTTAGCTTACTTAATATAGATTCTCTTTATGGATATCTAGTATCCCAGAAACTCTATTTTCTATATATAGAATTCATACTTCTTCAGCTTATATTATAACTGATATAGATATAGTTTATATAAAACTAGTTATATATATCTTATATATTCTTTCTTAGTCTTCAAGAAGATTAATATATTATCTAGATAAGTAATTATAAATCTATCAAGATATTCTTCTAAAATCTTATTAATATATTACTGAAATGATGCTAGTATATTAATAAGTTTAAATAATATAATCAAGTACTTAAAGTATCTATACTTTATTTTAAATACGGTTTTTCATTCTTTATTTTCTATAATATGTATATGATAATATATATTTATAATATCAAGCTTAATAAACCACTTTATTCCTTATATCTTATCTTGGATTTCTGAAATCAAAGATAACAGGTATTAATCCTTGATTAAAATAATATTTAATAACTGATAATCTATATATAATTATAAACTACTATCCTTTTTCAGTATAAATAAGACTCCATGTTCTGCTAAT